GTAATTAAACAAAATCCCTACAAAACCAATACTTGAAGATTTCATTTAAACTTGATTAGTGATATTATGCACATGAAATAAATTAACTTTGTTAAATTACATGTCAATTACGGAACAGCATCTTATGACATTTTATGTCTATCCAACTGAGAAAAAAATGAGGAGAGTAAGAGTAATCTCACTTAAACTAGTTATCAACATGTTCACGTAATGTGTATAGATATAAATACGATAGGAAGATTAGTACAGAGCTTTCACACACACACACACACACGCACATAAACACACACACACATAAACACACACACTCGCTCACAAACCAGTTGATGCACAAACATAAAAAAGATCCTAAAAGAGTACTAGTCATTATCACTTTATAATAGATGCGTAATCTTTCTCTCTTATTAATAAAACTTTATTTCTTATCGATTCGTTTATATGTAGATTTAACTTGTGTGCAAAATAGTAATAATAATAATAATAATGCCTATGGTTCTACTATAGGTGTAAATATATGTTTGGGTACAAGTATTATATGTCTAGAATACACTCATTTTGTTTAGCTATAATTACTAATAATAAGACTAATGACGTAAATGATGAAAAGTGATCATGATGCACACAAATGTATAATCTTAAGTAGTTGACTTATTAATTAAAATTGTTATATGTACATATACATAAATGTTATTCCAACATGAAGTATAATGCAGTCTGTCAATAAAACATAAAATGTTAACTGGTCTAATTCTTTGTATGTGCTTATTATGTGCTCATTAAAAACTGACCTATTTATTAACCATACTATTATTACTAAAACTGTGAATCTTTCAATAATAGTTTCTTCATTTTCTTTCCTAGTCAATTGTTGTTTTCCTTTGATTAGCGTTATGTTCTTAATTTATTAGTCATCAGAAGGCGATGAGTAAATCTTTAAAGTTGTTTGATTTTCTAATTCCTCCTGATAACTTTTGTATTTCTTTAGAACTCTTAGATAATGCCATAGCTTGCTTCGTTTCCGTGTGTTCAGTTCATTCATTAAACTAATCGTCTTACTACGCAACTTTAATACACTTATTTAACTCCTTTTATGCGTTGACTATGGAAGCCCGAGAAGACAGAACAAACAGACGGGGTTCCCCTCAAAGGATTGAAAACACACCCAGAGTCTGTGACAGATATGCTGACGCCATTATTGTAAAATATTTGGAAGAAGGGCTACATTGTCAAGTTACCTAAAAAGGAGCGACTTATGTCCCTACAAGAACTGGCGTGGAATAATGCTCTCGTCCACACTACCTAAAATACTAAGTTGCGTCATCCTAGATGGATGCATAACTCTGTCCTGACCAAACTGGATTCAGGAAAGGCAAATGATGTGCCAATAAGATGGCGAATCTACGTATCATCGAACAAAGCATAGAATGGCAGTCAAACCTCTACCTCTTTTTCCTCGAATTCAAAAATGCCTCCGATAGTGAGCATTGACCGAGAAGTAATTTGGAAACTACTTCAACACTACAGAGTGCAGTGCTGAAGACTTTATCAGCCTCATTCAACAGCTGCTAAATGATAATGCCTGCCATGTGTCAGGTTATCCACAACGGAAAACCCAGTGAGGCCTCCTGTTGAAGTAAATACAAGAGTAAGACAAGGTAGTTGCCTACTTTCATTGATTCCATTCCTAATTGTGGTGGACTGGATTATGCCTGAGACCGTGGGAAGCTAGAAGAAGGGCATACGTTGCACTGACCGATAAGTAGGCTCTAGAAGATCTGGATTTCGCGCATGGATAATTTGCGTCAAATTTCACACAGGCTCGAAAACTTGCAGGCGAAAACTAACAAACTGTCAGAAGTGGTATGTAGGCAGCGAAGATAGGACTTCGGGTGAACATAGAGAAGACTGAGGTGATGAAGATAATCAACGGACCTCAACAACAACAACAACAATCAGCACCAGTCACCATCAATGGGAAAGATATGACTGAGGTTACTTCATTCACTTATCTAGGAATCATCATTTCAACCATTGCCGGATGGCGTGGATGAAGATGTAAAAGCTAACCAGCCATCCAGAATCGGAAAGACAAGATATGCCTTCATCAAAGTCAAATCAGTTTGGAAATCTTCTGCATTCAGCCAGCATAAAGAACAGGATTCGGATTTTAGACATCAGTGTTAAGTCAGTCAGTTGTTCTTCATAGGTTGGAAACTTGGTGTGTTGCTAGAAGGACTTCCAACAAGTGGCAAACTTTTATGGACAGCTGTCTTCGCTTTATATTGATGGTCAAATGCCGGCCAGAAAAAATTAGCAGCAAGGAACTCTGACTGGGAACAAACAAACCGAGAGCCGATTGCTACATAAATATGTAGGAGAAAATGGTGATGGATTGAGCACACATTGAGGAGGCCATCGAATGGCATCGCGCGTAATGCAGGCCATGCACCTACGTTCCCAGTGAAATATATTACTTCAAGCTAGAGCTTTGAAGTTTCGGTAGCAGTGGTATTTATTTTTACGGGATGGGGTTGGTAACCTCATACCCAATCTTCAATCTTTACCAGTCTATTTACTGGTTTAGCGAGGTAAAGGAGTGGATCGAATCCCGTACCACGTGTATCGATAGGGATTATTCTTGAATTAATGAAGGTCTGTCTTGCTTTTCCAATCCTACCTTCGCGTTTTTATTTGTGACAACGTCATTTGAAGCACTGCCGCCGAGATAAGTGAAAGGAATGACTTAAGTTAAGTTCTTCCGGCTGGTAGTAATTGATGCTGGTTGGGTATCTTCGTCACCTTTATCTTCTGCATTTTCACTTGGATTTCTGTCTTCGTTGATTGTTCTGTAAATTTTTTGCTTTATATGACATCAGAAATAAATCCCCTACAAACTCCAGATCTCCTACAGTCTTTCTGTTAGTTCAACGTATGTCTATCTACTCTTTGCCACTGCCCCCCCCCTCTTCAGAGTCTGAGCATGTTCCATTCCACCACAGTCATGAATATCATCGATGTTTGTAGGCGTAACTGTAATAACTTTTTACGAAATCATTAGTCATTTGACTACATAAGATTAAAGTAGTTTGACTTTGATTTAATAATATATACTACTTAAATAAATGCGATTAATCAATGTCAAAAACAACCTACTCTGTACTTCATTTTAAACAGCAAGGCGTAAATAAATACAAATTGAATGCACGAAGCCAATGACTAATATCGTTTTTTATATTTCTTATTGTTATTACTGTTATTGTTGTATTGGACGGCAATGACAACTCTGATAACTGATCAAACCAAAGCTCAATTAAACTTTCTTGCATATCATCAGGTAGGGATTAAAATTAAACAGTTAACTCGGCGGGAAGAAAGATTGGACGCCCGTTGAAGACTTAAGCATTAACTAACCTCTTTTTCGGACAGTGGATTGATCAGCCTAATTAACACGTGTCGACTAACTGTTTGGATCAAAACTTATGGATTGATATCTGACAAAACCTAAGCAGTGGAGACAAAATGCTCATGATGGCATTTGTCAACTTGTGTCATTTTCAGCGCAGATGTCATATTCGGTTATCTATTAATGAACATGTGTAGAGCACAGTGATTTGTTATATTCTGGTTTGCAACCGTGAGATATGGTGGTGAAAGTGGAAGATATGAAGAGGTTGGTTGTCTTTGATCAGATCTGTCTGTAATTCATCTCTCCTGGATGGCATAACACTGTCAGTCAATGATCTTTTGAAGCAGTATTGATTTAGTTGGCTAAAATATGTGTTTCGCATGTCAAGCCATTACTTTAGTCGTAAAACAAGGTTAGTTTACGTAGGCTTGGGCTGGAAAAAATATGGATATGGTCAAACCAAAATATGGCGTTGTTAGCTTCAGTCACATAGGGATGTATAGACAACCTGATTAAGAACCCATAACTTATGACTATAGGTGATATGCCTTAAAGTTGTTCTTATTATTTTCTTTGGGATCATTCTTTCTACTTAAAGTTTTTGTTTACAATGACTGTTTTGGATTTCTATTTTTTCCCACTTCTATAAAAGTTTTATAAATTGTATTAACCTGAACTATTGCCTTGTTGCGCTTGAGATCCACTCCAGTTCAGTTCACTGAATCTCTGAACCTAGTGATAATCATATATATGTGCGTCGGTAGTTCAGAGGTAGAACGCCTGCCAACCATGCTCGTATTCCGACGATCTGTTATCGGCCAACGCACTCCTCAAGCTCTCTAAGCCGATGTTACGGCCAGTAAGTAGGGAAGGTTAGGGGTGAGGCTAGCAACCCCACCTTATAAAAATAAAACCGCCGCTACCTAAACTTCAAAGCTCTAACTTGAAGCCCTATGTTCCACTGGTTACGTAAAGGAATAGAATTAAAATTTATATATTTCTCTGTGAGACAGAAGGTTTTTTACTATCCAACTTTCTAGTCACAATACCTAACATTTAACAAAATTAGGAAATAAGTGAATAAGGTTATGTGAAAAGAAATTGTCAGTTATAAAATCATGTATAACCATCACTCTTGTTACTACTTATTGGAAAACACATTCAAAAACTGATTTTACTAACAAGTAAATAAGTGTCTACGAAAAATCATATCGACGAGGTAATCATTCGATTTCTTTTTCATAATTTAATATGAGGAAGTACTTTTTTTTAGCGTCATTACTTATTCGACAAATCATCCAATTAAATGTAATGTAATGTTCATGTCTCATCTGTTGTTATCTTACGTACTGCATTTGGTGCTATTTCCATTTCTAGAATAACATCTTCAAGAGTTTCAGTTTATACATGACATTACACCTTTACTTAAAGATTAATAGCCCATTTCGGTTTAATGATCATCCACAGTGTCTTATTGCTGATCTTATTGTTCTCAGTAATATATATATATATATATATATATATATCACTCGACTCGACTTACATTACTTTACATGTATTCTGTCTACTTTTTTGTTCTCTTAACGTTATCTAGACATCAGGCAGCTTTATCAGATCATAAAAAGCGTGTTCATGGTCCACGTGAATATATTTGTGGTATATGCTCAGCAGATTTTGCAACTGAAACCTATTTACGTTCACATGTACGCATTCATGATGAAAAAAGATATATATGTTTAGAGTGTAAACATGGCTTCTCAAATCCTTCTGATTTAAAAAATCATATGAGAATACATAATGGAGAGAAACCATTTGAATGTGAAGTAAGTGAATTTGAAGATTATATAATCTCTTTTGTATCTTTTTTTTTAGTTGTGTTCAGTTTAACTTGGTTTAAATTTAAATATTTGTAAGCGTTAAGTAAGCGTAATGTTGAGAAGTTCTTGTGTGTTTATTAGGTTTACTCAAAATTCCAGTGAAATATCTCAAGAATTTTAAGTTTCTGGAGAATTAATGTCCATGTATAAAATTATTGATTGAATCTTTTGTGAAACATTAAACGTGAACTGATATCAGTAAGTTAGATCACGAACTGACAACATTTTAAGGATCACTGAAAACCAGATCGTACTGGACAGCTATTCCCTCCTATCTTTGGACTCTCCATCTATGGCCATACATCACTGTATTGGAGATCGCACCCAGGACCTTGAAGTTGACAAGTGAGCCCACTGACCAAACAGTGGGTAGATGAGATTAAATGGACGATGAATTCTAGCTTCTGCCAATTCATGGTACATAGTGCTACCATTAGATGATGTCCTTTGCGAGTATTTAACCTCATGTTCAACTTTGTAGACCTCATTAGCTGCGGATTCCTAGTATATAACTGCAGGTATTTCACCCTGTAGTCAGTTACCAGTAAGCATTGGATTAATTTTCGAGTAATATAAGTAACATTTCTTATAAATTCGGAATTCATTTCAAATTTTATCCAAATTGCTACTACTCTCTTGATAGCTGATACGAACGATTAAAATAATTCTCTAATCTCGGTCGGCTAAAGTTATCTACAAGTAGGATTTAATTCAGTTTTTATTTTCTGTCGTCTAGTGACGTGCTTATGTCTGCGATATTCGATTTCTTTATTGAAGTGACTATAGTACATTTTACCTTGAGAACTTTGACTGATAAATAAAAAGAAATAAGCTTCAGGGGAATTACACTGAAATGATAGAAGGCAAGACACGAATGCAAAGGTATACTTTCCATTGATCAAACAGCAATTTATGTATACACAGTTTATATTCTTTAACCGTTCGTCACTGAGTGTGTGATTTCGGTTTACATTCAACAAACATGAAATGGAATGTTCAAACATATGTAATATTCTGTTGGTAATTCAGTATTGAACTGTGAGAATATGTGAGAATAGTATTCTGTTGGAACACATTGTCTGTATCACACCATCACACTCGTCCCCCCCCATTAAATACTTTTGACTCAAATCAGTTCGGTCTTCTTGCTGCTGGCGTCTTTGTTTGCTTGTCTTGCTATGTTTAATTCGCTGACGTTTACCCGCTTCTCTTTGTTTGCATTTCTAATCGTATATGTATCTTCCCCTGTCTCGCGGTGACTGTGTATGCTGCTTCACATTTTGGAAGCAGTTTGTTTGACCCTGGCGCATATTCGCCCGTGTTTCGCCTCACTCTGTCATATAATGCCTTCACCTGACCTGTCAGTCGCGTCCCAAGTAAAATCCTCTTTACTGACGGATCTTGAACGCCATTGAACCCCACAACAACCTCGAAGTCCTGCAAGAAGATCCATATGAATCCTTCTTCAAAAACTGTAAGGCATAGGCTTTTCATTTGTCGACAGACAATGACACAGAGCGGTGTATATACTTTAAGAGATCATTAGACGTTAAGGCAACTGTTACATTCGAAGAAATTCGAATGATTTGGGCGGTAGATTTCCTTTAGAAATTACATGGAAATAACATGGAATCTTTGAAATACCTAGGGAAACTGAAAGTTGTTTTGTTGGAATTGTGAATATTTTAGTTATCCCCGTCTAGTACCATCTCACCAGCAGCCATACTCAATATCTTTGTGTTATAAAGTTGTCATTGGGGAATGCAAAAATCTATAAATTGATTTGAGAAGTAACACCACTGTCATTTTATACCTCACAGGACATGACGTTTATGAGCAGTAGATTATATTTAACATCTCATGCTTGTCACGATTCTTTTAGTTTCCCTAATAGCCGTTCTCAAATATATATATATATATGATTTCATTGAGAAGTTTCCATTTAATTTGAGCAGAATTCGTATTGGAAAATAAAAAAGCCATTAATTTTAAACTTTTAATTCTATCTCAGATTGAAGAAATTATACTACAGGAACCAAATGAAAAGTTGGAAAGCACTTTTTAATTATTAACAGTTTAGAACCCACAAGCTAAGTGAACTCTTCAGGTGTTATTAATAAATATTACCTCAACTCCTGTGCTTGTCAAAAACAATAATAGTCAAATCATTAACTCAGAAATCGACTTAAATAGTTTAATGTTGTATAAGAAGTTGTGCCAAGTTAAACTTTAACCACCGCTGACTACCAATGGAGTGCAACCGCACCAGTGACCTTGAAACGCCTACTGAACAAGTTAGTGAAACCTGGCAAATAATGTTGTCATCATCAATAAAATGTGCTCATCGGAGTAATATGTTATTAAATAAGATATCTGGCAAGTCTCAGCTTAGGTCTGAGAAAGATTAAGTTACGCTTTAAGCCAAGGGCAAGTTAGAGTTAGGTTAACCTAATAAGGGCGATGTTAGGTTTTGTTCGGGTAGGATTACAGTTAGTTTAAGGATATTTTCACGTAAGGGTTAGGTTCAGGAGAGATTAGGGTTATAGTAAGGGTGATGAAATTTAAATAATTACATGCACAGAATGTGGTTAAATTACTCTGTTGATACAAGAATCGAACTTGTGCACTGTGGCACATTATAATTCCATTGTGGGTTAAATTTAATTCGATAAAGTGTTACGCAGAGTGTGTTTGTTATACAGTAAAATTTACTGATGACGTTTCGAACACAATTTATTGCTCAGTAAATATTACTGTATAACACTATGAGACTTTACCAAAATAAATTTTTCCCACAATGGAATTATACTCTGCTGATACTCCAACCTAAAACTGAGAGCTATTTTTATCAGATGTGAAAGGAAGGTATCCTCTGAAATACTTTTATGCAGTTTTTATGCATTTTTGTCATAAATATATGTTTTCCATACACAAAAATGCCTCCCTCACGTGATTGGCGCGTTTGAGGTCATTTGGTGACTAGTACTTAGTGGTGGTTAAAGTTTAACTTTGCCAGAAGTTGTGTAGCGTTAATATTGTTTCAATATTATCAATAATACTAACAAGAAATCAAAGTATATCAAAATAGCGAAATAGAAACTAATTTGAAAATATTTTCAAGTATTGGTTTGAAACGATTTGATTAGACTTAGGTCAAATCATAAGTTGATATCACTAAGGGAGTCCTTCTTCAGCAAGTTGAGAGTAAGGACAAATACTCACCAAAATACGTTGACTAATGGAGGGGCTCTATATATCCTGAATCAGTAAAAGTTAGATTTGAAGGGTCACTGGGTTCTGTCCCAGTAGTAAGATCGTCATCAGGCTACTATCTTTGCCTAACCATTCTAGGTCTATCTATATTCACAGTCTCTTCGGTAAATCTAAATAAAACACTCATATAATACAAATATTACTAGACGATTTCATTTCGTAGTCTCTCCACAGTAATAAAATAAAATCTTTGACAATTAATTAGTCACATGAGATAAAACCGCGCTTATTAATAACCAATGGTATTTTAACAGATCAAATAGTCCAGGGTAGGCAAAGGTTGAAGTCTATTACTTTTTGAGATGCATGTGATGAATTTAAAGTGCTTCTATCATCTTTATTCGGCTTTGAATTTAGCTTATGTAAGATGGTTGATAAACAACAGCAACAACAGACAACAATCAGCATAAGTGGGAAGAACCTGAAAGAAACAACCTCCTTCACCTACCTGGGAAGCATCGTCTCAACTACAGGCGGAACTGACGAGGACATCAAAGCCAGAATCGGAAAAGCAAGACAAGCTTTCATTACTCTCAAATCTGTGTGGAGGTCAACAGCAATCAGCATCAAAAATAAGATCCGGATTTTCAACTCCAATGTGAAGTCAGTGCTACTATACGGATCAGAGACTTGGCGAGTCATAAAGAGCATCTCAAACAAACTTCAAACCTTCATTAACAGCTGTCTCCGCTCAATACTCAAGATCAGATGGCCGGCCAGAAAAGATCAGCAACAGGGATCTCTGGGAGCGAACCAATCAGGAACCGATTGTGAAACAAATAGGCAGAAAGAAATGGAGATGGATTGGCCATACGCTGAGGAAACCATCAAGTGACATCACTAGACAAGCCATTGCTCGAGTGGAACCCGAAAGGGAGGCGGCGAGTTGGTCGTCCAAGGGTGACTTGGAGGAGGTCATGCGAGGAGGAGATGAAAGCATGTAGACAGACCTGGAGCAGGGTGAAAAAGTTGTCAGAAAACCGAAGGCAATGGAGGTGCGCAGCTGAAGCCCTATGTTCCTCTAGGAACTAAAGGATACAATAATAATAATAATAATATGTAAGATGGTTGATAAACAGTCCATTATGTACTGATTTCGTGACGAAACGTTAATAAATTCAATTTATTAAGTGGTTGTTTTTGGATTTTTTGTGTGATTTGATAAACACTTCCTAAGATGTTCTTTCTGGCATCATTGAAAAATTACATTAATTTTACCTCTATATATGTCCCTGGAACGGTGCGTGAATTTTAAAGTTCAGAGGGAAGTAGACCATGAGCAAAAGAAGAGAAACTGTTCGCGGGTTAAAGAAAAAGGATACAGAGTAGAACATCAGCTTGATAGCTAACAGAAGCCTTTGAGGTGTCGACTACATGTTTTGATCACCTTTGAACGGTAGTTTAATAAAGTTAGCTTTCTTTTCAAGTAATAGTCTGTCTTTGTTGCACCATACCATAGAGTTTCCTGGATGTCTATTAGCCAACATACATTCAATTTTTTTAAAATTGTCCGTAGAACAAATCTAAATAACCTTTTCTTACGTTGTTTTTTCTATAATCCCATGCTTAGTATTAATACGAATGCTAACATACACTAAATTATAAAATAGTGGTACCGTGGTGTGGTGATAGTCGGCCTATCTTGACTATATTGCGCCTACAGACACAACACCATGGTCAACTGATCACTTGAAAATATTCCCAGCACTTCAGGCAGACACAGAAGTCAGATTTAACTGAGACGACTACGGCAACAACAATAACCTTTATTATTCACAATACAGAGTATACATATCGTTTACACCTCGATGGGAATTTAATCCACAAAAAGATAATCAATATCTGATTGATTGCATGGCGTTGAAGATCTAAAATAAATCAGTCAAAAAATTGTAGTATCAGGTTATTATGTCAGCGCATACATTAGCTATAACTTCACAGCTAACAAAGGTAGTTAGTCCACGCTGACATGTAAACTTTAGTTTTGTAACCAAAGACAAAAGTTTTTTTATGGCTTAATAGTTATCAGCTTTTTTGATAGATGTAGTGACTGTGTACTGTAATAATCTGAGAATCCTAATAGAAAGGTGTCGCCAAATGTTATCCGTTTTCGTTCGCAAAACGACAGAAGCTAGATAGCGATACCAGTTGGTGAACATCTCGAGAAAGCAAGTTATTCATCCCTTGGGTTATAAATAATAACAATTTTTTTTCAAAAGAATGGATAGTGAACAAAGAGCATCCTTTTCGATAACTTCATCATCAGGCTCTACAGTTATAGATACATTATAGTGAATGAATGAATTAGTGTTATGAACAACATTAATGTTGCTGTTTAAATAACATCGAATCAATAATATTGATAGATTACAGCTGAATCGCATCAACACAAAATAAGCTGAATGTCAGAAGAATTAGGAAAGATAATATTACAAATTCATGAATTTATAGTTTCTACTGAAGCCCAAGGCAATAGCAGGGGCTGGACTTGCTTCTTTTGAACACAGAGCACTGGTTGTTTAAGGCGAATTGCAATAGCTTCTGCTGTTTTCAGTGTGCGGTGCTTCGATGATTTTGGCCATTTATTGGGCACCCCGTAGATTATAGAGAAGGATTCTTTAACGCTGGCTTTGTGGCCGGTTTGCACTAGATGGTCCAGTATCGAACTGTTAATGGTTCTCACTATGCCTTTACTTAACCATAGTGGGAGATGTTCTCGAGCACGGAAAATCAAGTTCCTAGAGCAACGGCCAATATAACTTGCTCCACAAGCACAGTTGAATTGGTAGATACAATTTGAAGTGGCTAGTCTAGGTACTTCATCTTTCAGTCGAGGTGGCACCATCGGTCGTGTAGAGAATAATACGTGTAGTTCGCCAGCATTAAAAGTTCTTTGAACTGATTTTCTTAATTTCCTCGTAATTATCTCACTTGGTATATCGCCCTTGAACTGCAGTCGTATATAAAGTGGCTTCTTGTTTACAGATGGTGAGCAGTCCTTTTTCGTTTTCTTTGTCATGTGTTTCTTGATAAATTTTTCGGGATAGCTATTTTCGATCAAAGTATCATATATAATGAATGCTTAATTCATCTTCGTTTACTTCTTCTGAGAATATAGCTCTAACTCTGTGGCTGAAGGTCTTCACTAAATTTCTTTTGTACTTGATAAGAACGAAGCTGTGAAAATGTGAAAATTATTTGAGGACAGAAAGTAAACCAGTGTTTTCATTTCGGATATCGATCGATGATAAGGATTCATCTAAAAATCAACTAATTTTTCAATAAAACTAAACAAATCGTATACTAATCATCGCCAATCAGTCTCGAAATAAATAAATGATCTGTAGTATTTGATTTGATGAAGGCGCTTATCCACCTACAGATAACTTTGATTAGTGTATGTATAAAGCATAGAAAAGTCTTGCAAACTGAAGTCAAATGGCTAATTGGTAGTATTTTCATCACAGTAAGACTTAATTGTCCTTAGCTTGATTCTGCCTATCTTCGAATAGTATGTGTGTGGTGAGAGCAGGCTGCTAGCCGATTGGTTGACACTAATCTACGTTAAGGTCTAGGTCACTAATATGGGCCGTGAACAAGGCTGAGTCAACAACCAATCACAGCGAAGTTAACGTGGCAAAATATGATTCGCAGATAGAGAACTCTGTTTGTCAAGGAATCCCGAAACAACCAATCAGAAGCCTGCGTTTGTCTACCTAAACAACCAATCAGATGACTGCGCTTGTCTATAATAATGTAGTATGAAAGATGTATAAATACGTGTTGATTTTCATAATAAAACGATCTGTTGCCTGGCCCTTGTCTTCTTTTGTTACATTTGGTGTCGCTGCCTACCGACAAATGAAAAGCCTATACCCTGCAGTTTTTGATGGAGACATATGGATCTTCGGGCAGGACTTCAAGGCTTCTGCGCAGTTGAGTGGCGTTCAAGATCTGTCAGCGGTGGAGCTGCTACTTGAGACGCTGCTGGGAGGTCGGGCGAAAGCAGCATATGAAGGTGTGGGCCGAAGTATGGACGAATGTTCGACAGGGTCAGGCAAACAGTTTCCAAAGTGGGAAGGACCATATATGGTCACTTCGAGATGGGGTTACGCAGACACAGTCGCAATGGCGAACAATGAGAGGCGCGTGAACGTCAGCAAGCTCCAGAAATGGATACAGCGAGACAAGCCAACGATGACGCCTGCACCAAGTAGATCAAGCCGACTTCAGTCGCACGTATTTGACGGGGGGACGAGTGTGGTGAGAGCAGGCTGCTAGCCGATTGGTTGACACTAATCTACGTTAAGGTCTAGGTCACTAATATGGGCCGTGAACAAGGCTGAGTCAACAACCAATCACAGCGAAGTTAACGTGGCAAAATATGATTCGCAGATAGAGAACTCTGTTTGTCAAGGAATCCCGAAACAACCAATCAGAAGCCTGCGTTTGTCTACCTAAACAACCAATCAGATGACTGCGCTTGTCTATAATAATGTAGTATGAAAGATGTATAAATACGTGTTGATTTTCATAATAAAACGATCTGTTGCCTGGCCCTTGTCTTCTGTTGTTACATGTGAATACAATTCAGATTTTCACTGTCGCTTGTTTTCTTTTCTTATTTAAGTAGATAATACCAACTTAGGGGTTTTTATACAGTTTTGAAGTAAACTGAAAGCGTTGATCAACAAAAGCATTTTAAACGCTAACTGAATGTTGTCTTAAGTAAATTAACATTGTATATAAAGTCTAATAGGAAAGCAAGACAACACTAGAATGTCCTGAATTAGTCTAAAGATCCACAGAATCTAGCACAAGGAACAAGATTCAGATTTTAACACCATTGTCAATTCAGTGCTTTTATATCCTTTGGAAAGTTGATACGTCGATAAAAGCATTTTCAACAGACTATGGACTTTCATCAGCAGCTTCCTCTCTTCCATAATGAAGATCAAATGAAAAATGAGAAAGGATAAGTAACAAGGAAGTCTGACAGCGAACCAAATATGTAAAAGGAAATGGAGGTGGATTGAACATGTACTCAGGAAATATTTAAACAAAATCACACAGCGGGCGGCGGGCTGTTGGGTGGAACGTGAATTGGAAGTAAAAAAATTGTGCATTCACAGTTGACATATATAAAAGATCATCTTGGGAGAGAACGGAAGGTTGTGGTCAGTCGTAGACCTAACTGTATTAGAGATGTCCCACTGAAGCCCTATATACTTCATTTGGAAGGTTAGCAGTGAAGAATAATAATAATGTAAAACTCCGAGCGGAACAATCTGGACTCAGAAAAAGAAATCATATGCTGAACGAATTGCGACTCTTTGCGTCATTATAAAACAGAGCGTAGAATGGCAGTCAAATCTCTACTTCAAAAAGGCCTTCGACAGAGTTGACCGAGAAGTAATTTGGAAACTGCTTCGACACTACAGCGTGCAGTTCCCAAGTCTTTGTCAACCTCATTCAACAGCTGGCTGGCTATATGACAGTGTCTGCTACGTGTCAGGTGATGCACAACACAAAAACCCAGTGAGGCCTTCTGGTGAAGTGAGTACAGGAGTAAGACAAACTGGCTGCCTACTGTCACTAATGATATTCCTAATTCTGGTGGACTGAATTATGCATGAGACTATTCGAGGGGAATGAGAAGACAGGAATACGGTCTACCGACAAAAAGACTCCAGAAGATCTGAACTTAGGGGACAATTTGTGTCAGATATCACGCAAACTCGAAAATCTACAGCCGGAAACCAACAAACCAACAACGGAAAAGGCAAGAGGCAAAGACAGGACTTGAAGTGAACATGGAGAAGATGGGGGGTGATCAAGATAACCAACCAACTACAACCTGCAGCAGTCACCATCAACGGGAGAAATTTGAAATAGGTCAATTCTGTTGTTTCAACTACAGGCATTGGCAAGGATGAGATTGTCTAGACTAGATTAGGAAAGGTGAGACAGACATTTATCACTCTGAAGTCAGTTTGGAAATCTTTTGCACTCAGCATACACAACAAAATTCGGGTTCTCAACATCAATGTAAAAATAAATCATTTCTTCTTTATGGGTCAGAAACATTGGCATGTAACGAAAAGCATTCCTAACAGCCTGCTTCAGACTTTCATTAACAGTATCCTTCATTCTGTATTAAAGATCAGCGGAACCCAAACGGGAAACGATGAGATAGGTGTCTGAAGGCGACTTGGTAGAGGTCGTGTGAGAAGGGGATGAAAGCTTATGGACAATCGTATGACCAGCTAAATGAGGACTGGGGAAGACACGGAGCAAAAGAGAGGAGGAGTGGTTTCGAAACCCTACGTTGCACTTAGAACCCAGGAGATCAATATTAATAATAAGCCAATGGGACATCGTTAACTGGCATATTCCTAAACCATTCAAACATAAACGACTCAAAATGAACTAGAATTAGGACATATTTTTATGATTGTGCTGCATTTGAACTGCTTATTGGCATCCAGCATACAGTTGATGTTGAACCTGTCCACTGATTAATAAAAATTTATCTACTTACAGATTGCTTGATCTATTTGACTTGTTCGTACTGAGCTGTGAATAAATTTTTTTTCTCTAAATAAAACTACAACACTAGTGTTGTAAATGTCTGTATAATATAAGTAACAATAAGAACTTATATTAAGTAAAGATACTTTATAAATTAATTTATACATTTACATATACGATGTCATTTATGTATCTCTTCAATACACAAACTGGATTCAATTCACCCACAAGTATAGTATAGAAATAATAAAAGAGCAACATGTCTTAACATGTATGTGCCATCAATGATAAAATCCTGTTCTTCTTTTTCTTCTTCAATATTCAATTTCATTTATTAATGTTTATGACGTGTAAATACGTCATTAGGTGTGATTTTGGACAACGTTTTATATTTCATCATGTGGGCGAAGTAAATAAGGTGGAGAGATAAGATACAACCTCTGGAAATGCATTCTCCTAAATACTCCTATACATATATGGATACATATGTGTATTTACGTATATATGTATGTATATAATGCATTAATTGTCTTTACTGCAGATATAACTTGTACGTACAACATTGTTCAAACATAAAATGATAGTGATAACAAACAAACAAGGTAACGGTGGTATAAAGTACATACTGTCAGGAGTTTGATAGGTTAAACGTAAGTTACTACCCTTTAAACAAAACAGTTAAAAAAAGGCACATAGGTGTTGATATTGTTTTTGTCTGAGGTTAAGAGAATCACGTGAAAGAGAGGGACAGTGAGTGTACAGCAGTTCTTAATCGTAAAAGTAAAAGGTTACTCTAGAAAATACAGCTAAGAATGAACATTTACAGATAAGAAAAAAGCTGTTAGTAGTAATTAGTTTTACGATGACAAGATATTCGTTAAATCCATTGCTTGTTGGGAAATGCCTCAACCATACATCCCTTTCGTATTTCTGTTAAGGTTCATTTCACGAGCTGAAATTCTACAGACTTATTTCTCATTTTGCTGATCGTCATAGAAATCAGTAGCATTACAACTGTTTGGTTGATTTGCTGTAAGAGAGCCCTTCAGAATCTTTCTTTATTTGTACATAAATGCTATTGTATATGGGCAGAAAAATGCTGCATTGCATGGTATTACCTAATCATTTTCAAAAAATATTGTCTTATCCTACACCAACCTAATGGCTATTGGGTCTTTTATTATATAAATTCCTAAACTGTTTCCTTCTCACATTACAGTAGAAGATTTAGTGGAGAACGAATTGAATTATAGAGGTGTCAGACGAAATCGTAAGGAACAACTCCCCACTTTCTAAGGAGTCTTTTTTTCCATAAAGTTTGCACGACATCTTGGAAGAGTAGGAGATTGTGTCAAAATGGAATACCATCAATAGGAAACGGAATGTAACACAACTGTGAGATGCAAGAAATTAAGTAATACATTTGGGATTCAAATTAGGTGAATTATTCTAATAAATACTCTAAATGTTAAACTCTAAGCTTAAAAAATCTCACCTTTCTCCATTCTTATTTACGTCTATCTAAATAAGTGAGGTAAAAAGTAGAACTGTCCTCAGAAAGTGAAGATTAACAGCTATACGGTTTCTTGGTTCTTGTTCCTACATTTTGTACGTTTGTACCAAACGGTTATATGTGTCTACTAATCAAGAGATAGATTCTAGTAAGTTTATTGTAACAAAATAATTCGTGGGACATTGGATTCCTTCCCGTCGACTGAATGGTTGGTAGGCTTGTCTGGTAACCTGAACGTACTAGGTCTGATCCCCAGGGGGATCATGGAGGATGATACTGATGAAGAGTCCTAAACTAAGACGAAACATCCATCCAGTGATCTTTAATTTTCAGTGATTCTCTAAATGATATCAGTTTGTGACTTAAGATGAAATAATTTTAGTCAAATGAGAGTTCTTTATCTGTAAATTTAATTATTGTGGTTCATAGAATTACATTTTCACTCTTGTACCCAAATAAAAATGAATACCTTGCATGTATTGCTAATTGGTGAAAACTCAATTTATCCATTCTTTTTTTTGTGGTTAACTGAAAAGTGTCATGTGTCAGTGTTTGTTTAGCCTAGAATTACGTAATCGGTTTTTGTCATCTAATAATTTACTAAATTTATCATTGAAGTTTAGCCGCGTTAAGTGTTTGACTGTCTGTCAGTACAGATTAATCTGAAAGTTTATCCTTTCCAGTTGATTAATGCTATCACATAACTGGAATATATTCTCATCAACTTCATATTTTGCGATACAAAGTGCTTAAGTGCATCACGCTATATACTACTGATTGATTGAAATGAGTAATTATACACTACTCGCATCGACTACTAGGGTGTTTTCTAGCTAAATCATAGGAATCAAAATACTGGATGGTTGTTTAGCTCGTTTTAGGTCTGAACTCATCGGTGGTGCAGCCGGTTTAACTCAGCTCATACAGCCGATGACAGATCACTTCAGTAGATCACATATTGTGTTCGGAATAATCTCGGTTTCCTAAGGAAACTACGGTGAAATAATAATCACATCAAGGTGTGTTAACTGTGAACTAATTTACAAATCGCGAATTTTACTTATAAACAAAACGCTTTTGCAGTTATCCTGCTGTAAGACTTTGATGAGGCATTTTCACGATGAAATAAAGTTGACTCACCTGAATAAGATAAGCTAAGACTCACACCAAGCACCCATTGTGACCCAGTGCTCAAGTGGATAATGATTTTATATTCCAAACGATAAGTGTCCGTTTCTAGTCTGAGTAGGAACACCATCACCCAGTGAGGATGAGGGGAAACATAAATTATGAACCCTGAAAGGGAATAAATGTGCATCCACTGGATTCCATTGCCAACCACCATCAACTGAATAAAACTCAAGTTTAAATTTTGATGAGAACTCTAGGAGTAGTCTATTAAGCAATTAAAAATAATTCTCAAACAATTGATGTACCTGAACAGTTCAGAATCAAGGTATACATGCAGACACGTCCAGTTGATGAGTCCCAGATAGAACGAAGTGCTCAACCAATAATAAAAATGATTTTGTATTATATTTTCTTAATTCTTGCTTCGTTCAAGATGACATCATACTTTTGAGTCTCTATTCGATTATATTTGTAGTGCTGTTAACACACTAGTATATATTAATAGTTTACTGTTAAACTTATTCGAGGAAAATAATAATTTTAATTAACACAATGGTTTGATTCAAAATGGTGTCGCTAACTAATTAATGAGTAGCTAAATTGTATTCACAAAATATTTTGGGACATACAGCTTCAAGTACTTGAACTTATTCGATTATTACAACTAAAACTTTTTCAGAGCATACTTAGGGTAAATGTTTCATGTGAAAATTGATTAACTGTACAATTTCACACACACACACACACTGCACTAACTGATGATTTTGTTTACTTCATAGGTTTGTGGCAAAGCATTTCGTCATGTCAGTGGATTTTATGCACATATACGTATTCATACTGGTGAAACACCATATCAGTGTGAATTGTGCGCAAAGAAATTTAGTAATGCAAGCAATTTTCGAATGCATAGAAGAGTACACACTAAAGAAATGCAATTTCGGTAAGCTACATTTTGCATTATTATTCTACTTAGTCTAAATATGATGAAAATGTTATTAGTTATACACCTTAGGAATGAAACTTTTAGAATTTCTGTTAATTCTCATAGGAGTAAATTATTATTCCCTTGAGTTCCGAGTGAAATATATAGCTTCAGCAAAGATCTCTACTTTGTTCTGTTCTCTTCTATCCTCTTTAGATGGCTCCATGATTGACCATAGTCTCTGATCTCCTCCTCGTCATCCTGGGACGTCCGACTTTACCCACCGGTCTCTTCAATGCGTCCCACTCATCCCCATTTGTTTCAGGATATTTGTTGAGCAAAAGGTCTTTGTTTGGTTTAGTAGTTAGAGCTTCTGGTTCCTAATTCTTTCTGACAGGTCATGTGATCTTCATTATGGAGCTAGCAAAGACAGCTGTTGATAAAAGTTAACAGCTATCTTTTGGAAATGCTTATGGTGACTCTCCAAGTTTCCGACACATACTGAAGAACTGACTGACTTGATATATCAATGTTGAAAGTCCTATTCACGTTCCTTTTGTTGAGTGCAGAAGATTTACAAATTGATTTCAGAGTGAGGAATTTCTTTCTTGCCTTTCTGATTCTGGCTTTGACATATTCATCCGTTACACTTGTAGTTGAAATCGTGCTTCCTAGATAAGTGAAGGAAGTGACACCTTCCAAGTTTCTTCCGTTGATAATTCTTAATACTTGTTGTTGGTTGGTTATCCTCATCACCTCCGTCTTCTCTATGTTCCCTTTAAGTCTTCTCTCTTCTGCTTTTTCGACCAGCCTGTTGGTTTTAGCTTGTAAGTCTTCAAGTTTGTGTGACACTAGACACAAATCGTCCGTGAAGTCCAGATCTCTAGAGTCTTGTTATCAGTTCAACGTATTCCCGACTTCTCGCTCCCCGTAGTCTCCTACATTATCTAGGAGTACATGACCTAAGTTAAAACTGATTGACTGATTTATCAACGTAAAAATTTGCGCTTAAGTGTTACAATTCAACTGACCAATATCCAGGAAAGCTGACAGTTGGAGAAATGAAATATAATGAAGGTATATGAGAAGGACTTCGACAGCGTTGACCGCGAAGTAATTTGGAAACTACTCGAGTACTACGGCGTACCCCAAATATTCATCACCCTTATTCGACAGCTGTGCGATAACGGAACATGTCAAGTGATTCACAACGGAAAACTCACTCAGTGAGGCGTTTGGAGTAAACACAGGAGTCAGACAAGGGTGCTTGTTATCACCAATGATATTCCTAATTGTGGTGGACTGACTGGATTATGCGTCAGACAGTGGGAAACGAAAAACGGGACAGGGATATCCTGGACCGACGTGAAGAACCTAGAGGACCTGGATTTCGCGTGTGGATGATTTATGTTTGATGTCATACAAATCGAAGACTTACAAGCGAAAACCGATCGATAAACTGGTCGAAGAAGTAGCCGGAGAAGACAGGACTCCAGGTGAAAATAGACAAGACGGAGGTCATGAAAATAACCAACCAACAAAAAACAACAACAGCAACATCCAGCGCCAATCACCATCAACGGGAGGGAGCATTGTCTCAACTATAGGCAGTCGGAACGGACGAGGATGTCGAGTCGAGTGAGAATCGGGAAGGCGAGAAGCAGATTTATCAACCTGAAACCAATCTGGAAATCTTCGTCACTCAGCCAGAATCAACAACAAAATTCGGTTGGATTTTCAACATAAACGTCAAGTTAGTCAGTTCTTCCATACGGATCAGAAAGTTGGCGGGCGGGTCACAAAGAATATTTCCAACAGCCTGTTGCAGACTTTTATCAACAACTGTCTTCGCTGGCTCTATACTGAAGATCAGATCAGATGGCCGGGCCGGAAACAATCACCAACAAGAAACTATGGCTTGGAACAAACAAAACAAGAACCAATCGCCAACCAACAAATATGCAGAAGAAAGTGGAGATGGATTGGACAGTCGCTGAGGGGCCGCTGGTTGACATCACGCGCGCGTAAGGCCATTGTTCGAGTGGAACCTGGCCGAAAGGGAAGCGGTTGGTGGGACGTCAGTGCAAGGGTGACATGGAGGAGATCGTATGAAGAGGAGTTGAAAGAGTATGAACTAACGTGGATTTAGGTGAAAAGCACAGCAGAAGACAGAAGTGGCAAGTGGAGACGTACAGTTGAAGCCCTACGTTCCACTAGGAACCCAAGGGAACAATAATAATAATATGGGAGGAAAAAGATCATCTGAAAATTTCACAAATTGCAAACTTGACTGACAGAATTCAGCCTGCACCAGAGATAGGACTAGATACACACACACACACATTATACTAGTTACTGACTAGTATTCAATCAAAAACTTCATAATCTGAAACTCTACAAGGACTTAGTAAATTTGCATCATTGTAAGGGGTTTTAAACATCCTAAAACTGATTCTTAATACTCTGAGTATCGATGCAATCAACACCCAAATAAGTGACTTATGTTAATACTCTGCATCTTCATAGATTAGTGCCATTTTTCCATCTGACAACTGTCAACTCTTCCGAAAATAACGTCATTTATTCTTACACACTGCTCATAGAAGAAAGCAATGACTCAACATGCGAAGCATTTTTCCACATCACTTTAATCAGTCAAGCTGAACACTCCCATCGGTTGAATTACTTCCTTCACCTATCAGTTTAAACATGATCTCAACGTATAAGGCTTATTATTTAGTTTTACCGAATGCTACAAATTGAACATGTTTCAGGTAATCAGGACTATCAATTTTGAATAAACACTTATTCTAGTGGACAACGTTATTTATATACTCTGAGTTATTGAAGGCATAAATGAAGTATTATTTATTGATACTTGTGATATTTTTAAATCATATTTAGACACTTAGGTTTCTCTTGAATGAACACTTAGAAATTACTCTTATTTCAACTTTGGTATTACTTGTTTCTTTAGGAGGGATAAGTAAAGTCAAGGATGCTCCTTTTGTTTTATTCTAATACATTATATTGGCTTTGATATATCCTAATCAGTGATTGTATTCTCATTGGGATCCGAACGTTAATCACTGGTGCATAGATGTATCCAAGTGAGGAGCCTCAAAGACAAAGAGACTCGCATCTTTAGATTACAATGTTAGCCATAACTAATCAAGTAACTTATAATTAAGGTATTCTATACCGGGTTTCTTTTCAACTTGGTTAAATACCAGGTTGATGTAAGAGATCGTCATGTTTTTAATATGGTCAAGAGTTGGTTTGTAAGGATTAGACTTGTGTTTGACGAGTTTGACCACGGGCTGACTTCAGTTAGAGAACCATTGAAAACCAGGGAGTACTGGACAGGCAGTTGTTTCATCCTAGTTTGGGAATCATCGACAGTACGCACCCACCAACATTGTTCGAACCCAGAACCTTCCGGTTACAAGGTAAACTCATAGACCATTCAGCCACTGCGACCTGATTCAGCAGCCAACGGATGAATTCTAACTTCTACCAATTTGTGATTTAGGTCGACCACCAATATATATATAATATGTCACTATTCTTCCCTTCATTTTTCATAGGTCTGCTAAATAGTGTAACACTCCTGTTCTAGTAACTTACATATTTTTGCAGAAAACTTTCATCTGTTAACAGACCAGTAATAATGAAATAATTCAGTGTACTAAGTAAGGTCAGTCTCTTTCAAAAAATTTCTAATGAAAATCAATTTCCTGAACTATTTCTTTTCACACTATTCTCCTATCTAAAACGTTGAACAAGTTAAACAATCTAATTTCCAGCTGCCCGTCAGATTTCATTTGACTACTTTAATTGTTAAAGTATAAGTAATACTTTTTGTCCTAAATAAAATAATTTAGAAGAAATACAACTTGTAGAAGTCTCTTCCTTCTAATACCCTATTGACAGTAGTGTTTGATTTCTTAAACTTCTCCTGAGCAAAAAGGTTCATATTTTATCATCTCTGACCACTTAAGAAAAACCAAAAAGTAGACAGCATTCAACGGTTTTTTCTGGATGTGACTTTTTCTCAAAATGAGCATATTATCATTCATTTACTGACTTCTAGTTCAATAATGCTTGTTTTTTAACATTCTCCATTTTCAGGTTTTATTATGAGCTCACATCACTTAGAGAACCATTGAAAAACCACCTGGGAGTACTGAACAGCGTTTCGTCATAGTTTGAGACTCTTCCGCAGTTCACATACTAGAGTTCGAATTGACAGAAGTTGGAATTCATAGATCATTGGGTCGGTAGCTAAAGCGTCGGTGGCACAGTGGTTAGGACTCTCGCCGACCATATACATGGGCCTGGGTTCGATCCCCTCCCGACGCACACCCGATATCTATGGTCGGCCTGCGAAATTCGGGCTACCGATATCACATGCTGAAAATTTCATACTTGTACCAAAAATACGGTGTGAAATCAAGCTATACTCAAAAAAGAGTGCTTTGTAACTGGAAGATCCTAGGTTCCAGCCTCGGTGGGTGTGTACTGCTGAAAGTTCCTAGACTAAGACAAAACAGCTGTCCAGTACTCTTTGATTTTGAAATAGCTTTTTAACTGATTTTTCACCTCGTGACCAAACATGTAAGCAATCAAATCCCTTCAAACCAACACTTGATAATCTTCCAGTTCATGATGTTTAATTTTATTATTTATTTTAACTTTTATTCCTTTGCGTTCCAAGAGGGACATAGCTCATCAAGCTTGAACTTTGATGATTCATACGGGATGAAGTTGCTAGCCTTACATCAAACCTTCTGTCTCTGAGGGGCTTACATACAAGCTAAACTCGAGGTTAAGCAGTACATCTGTTGGGATCGAACCCTCTATCACATGGATGGTCTACAGATATTGTACCAATGAACCACCAGTGTGTAATGTGTTTAATAGGGTACCTGAAAGACTGTCTCTGTGTTACATGTAGAAACTCAATGTTCTTTTTGATGCTATATATTTCATAAATGTTAACCGTTTTATTTGTATTTTGTGTGTTCACATTTTTAGCTGCCAAACATGTGGTAAAGAATTTATTCAACCAAGTAATTACAGTCGACATTTACGTATACATACTAAGGAAAGACCATATTCATGTAAACTATGCTCAGCTGAATTTTTATATTCTACATCTTTGAAACGACATCAACAAAGAAATCATGGAGTAGAATTATTAAGATGTCAATTATGTCAAAAAACATTTTTAAATGAATCATGCCTTATTCGTCATCGTACTGGTTGTGAGTTGCGCGCTTGTGTTAAAACTGCTGACGAAGGTTTATGTACTCAATTGTTATAAAATCGTATATTGAAGACAAAAACTCATAAAGTAATGTATCATCTTCATGCTGATGAGATTCAGACGAAAGTGAATTAAGAATTATAACTCAGAAAGTCAAATTTTGTTATTGTTGTTGTTATTTAATCATTTGTTTCGTTTTATTTTCTTTCGAATACACCTACCATTCAGAAAAAGCGCCTTTTTTGTTTATTCATTCATATTCTCAGATTGTTGGTTGTTGTTTTTCTTTTTTCTTTAACTCGTATAAACTTTAACAAATAAACTCTCGTTATTTGTTTGTATTGTACTGTTTGTTTTTACACTCATATTTTGGATACACATTTTATAACATTTTGTTTGATAAATAATAAATATTTTCTTTTCGTCTTCCTGTTCAAACTATTTTTCGATGTATTTTGTTTTATTTCACTGATGTTCTCAGTGGGATTTTTGTTTGTTTTTTACAGCTAAGAAGAAATATTCCCATTCATAAAACTCACATTTCTACATATTTTTTTAAAAACTACTCTAATATATTAACTATTGTTCGTTAATTATAATAATTAATAAAATTGAAATAATTAGAGGTAATAACAGTTATAATAATAATAACAATGATCAATAAACTTAAAATTTGTTTTTCTAATTAGATTAAAGAGGATATGGATGATGTGAATAGTGATCAGAAAAGTAGACAAAAACGTATTCCTCGTGATGGGTAGTTTACTAGATCTTGATTTCTTATATCATAGTTAGGCGTAAATTTATCGAAAATTTGTTAGATTGGATGGAGGACTTCATCATGAGCTCAGATCAGTTACAGAACCATTGGAAAACCAGCTGGAAGTACTGGACAGCTGTTTCGTCCTAGTTTGGGACTCTTCACAGTACGCACCCACCGGAGGGGTTCAAGCCCAGGATCTTCTGGTTACTAGGCCATTGAGCTACTGGGACCCGGTCAAATGGTCCTTGAATTCTAACTTCTGCCAGTTCACGACATAGTGCGACCATTTCGCAATGTCTTATTCGATGAGTTAGTGCCTCATTTTCAACCTGCTGTACTCTACTGGTCACGACTTCTCACTAGACCCTCAGGTCACTGCCTGAATACAGCCAGTCGTTAGTGAGCGTCAGAATAATTTTCAATTATTGCCGTACTGCTGAAGGGTCCCAAACTAGGACGAAACAGCTGTGCAGCTTCCACAATGACTTGTTTTTTTAGTAGGATCACAAGTACACCGTACTTAAGTCTTCTAGGGTAAAACAAGAGAAAAGTTATTCTGTGTACCTTGAAGCATCATCGGAAGTATTACCAACAGCCTCCTGTAGACTTTCCACAACACCTACTTCCGCTCAATGCTGAAGATCAGATATTCTACTGGAAACGATAAATGACAAGGAATTCTACTGGCAGATCAGTCAAGATCTTATTATCCAGAAAATATGCAGAGGGAAACGGAAATGCACTCGACAAACTCTGCGAGGACCACTGAATAACATAATATGCCAAGCAAACTGTCGAGTGGAGGCGGAATAGAAGGCAACGAGTCGGGCATCAGAAAATAATGAGATGATCATGTGAAAGAAAGAGGAAAGCTTGTGGACAGTGGTATAGCCATCTGGAAGTGATGGAAGAAGATAGATTACAAAAGAGATGTTCCTCTGAAGATTCACATTCCACGTGATGCTCGGAAAAACGAACAAATAATGTTATGATAGTAACATGATAAAATAATAATTCTATTAATACTGGGAATAGTATCTGCTTATTTGTATGCAAGATTTTGTCGAGCCTTTTATGAGACATAGCAAAATCAACCCAATAGTGCCTTATGGTGTAAAGCCAGTGAGTTCAAAAAGAAGATAATAGAATTTATCTAAAGGTCAACATCAAAAAATAAGTGTTTTTATAAATGAGTGTACCTAAACGTTAGGATGTAATATTATTCCACCTGAGTTTTTCATGAAGGCAATCTGCTTAAATCACTGAGATACCTGAATTTCCATCTAATACAATGTATCATATTTTCTCTTATTCTTGTTTGTTTTAACCATTCAATGGCGTCCTTGAGTTACGAAATGTACTCACACATATTTTTGATTGGCTCTCAGGCTAGTGGTGCGCATATGTCAGAGACAAACGAAAAATGTCAGAAGTGATTAGTCTATGCTTTAGATCAAACGACATTGCATCATATGATGTACCATAGATCGCTATTTTACTTTATTTAGCGTAGATGGCAGGGGGGGTGGATATTACGGAATAAATTACTCTGAGTATTCTATTCATAGTATAAACATTTTGTGCAGAACAAAACTGCCATTATTATTGTTATTAAGCCAAATGAAAATCCATTACACAGTGCGTATACACGGTACACAATCACTGGCCATAACATTGCCAACTAAATTTACAGTTTGACTATTAGGCTGAGTAAGTCATCAATCTTTATTCAGATTAATTTAAACGAACAAACCCTTAATTTTGCGGCAAATTCAAACCACAGCGATCCACGGAATGCAAATGCACTGAAGACCTTGAGCTGGCCAATCAAGAAATACAGTTGTTTTTCATAAAAAATGACATTTATTTGCGAGAGAAACACATGAAAATACATTAAACAGGATATTTCTCCCAGACATGACTCAAAAATACCTCCAGATTACTATGCGGCGTATCAATTTTTAAGGTAGCCCAGTTTCAGCGCGTGCATTCACCAAGGAGACTGTATATGAGTCATTTTTTTACCTATTTATCTCTCTTATCCTGTTTCTCGATTTTACACAAAAGACCGCGACTGAATTAGTATGGGTTTCAGTGAGAGGATTAACATCTATTTACTAGGAAAATGCGGATAGTAAAAGTGAATAATACCAACCCCAAAGTTAATCCCACTTGTAACTCCACCCTTAATCCTAACCCTAACCTCGCAGAGTTAAACTTTAGGCATCAATAAGTGCCAACGGACTGATGACCTTGGACGCACCGCCCACATGATCGTTTTATGTTCTGTCGCTTGTTTATTACCTTTAGCTAGTTAAGCAATCATCACTGCTCTACGTTTCTGATCCCGAAATAAATTTAGTATTTTGCGCGATCAATTTGATGTTATGATTTACTTTTGGTCTCGGTAGAATAAGTACAACTACAGGGTAATACTTGCATTTGTACATAACGCATCTAGCATAACTGTCGAAATTCTTCGTCTCACAAAATCCCACAAGGAAAATGTGCGACAGCTGGGAAATATTTTTCAACTTGGAAGGAGTTGTCTGCACCAAAATAGCCGCCATTTAATATACTACCGTATACGAAGGCATTTATAGTAACCTCCTGCTTTCAAACTTTTAGGCAATAAATGCTCCTATAAGCCCTTTATAAATATCTGAACGTTGTTAAAGTTCATGAGTTGCGCAACTGTTTGTCACTTCGTTTGCAGAGTAGATTTTTCGCTTTAGTCCTTGTACTTTTTGCCAAATGTTCTATGCTATCCTTATTAAAGTGCATAATTGGATTTGCGATACGGATATCATTTATGTAGTGGTTCGCGAACTCACGTAAAGAATCCGTCAGTAATAAACTTCATAGTCTTCTCAAGTGCTTTCGGAGAAGAGCTCTTTGTTTCATTAAGTGATACAGTAACAGTATGGAGAAAATAGGATAAAAGTTCAGAACGCAACATTGTAGCCAAACTTGGTTCTAATGAAACTTAGCAGCCAACACCATAGCAGTAAGAACTTCTGAAATACTTGAGGATGCTGATAACAAAATGGAACATTTTGCAGATGATGTTACTGAAGCTCTCACTGACACAAGCGTGATAGGACTAGATGAGGTCCACACTGACGTTCAACCTTTATTTTCGAGCTGTTCGCAAAACAAGAGATATCACAGTGTGGCCAGAAGAAAATATATCTCCAAGAGAAGTAACAATAAGCCCACTACTTTCTCGACCTAATAAACGCGATGTTCCTGTGGAAATGTGGTGCCACGACCTCTGAGATGTATTCGAAAAATAAACCAACACGATATATTCCATCGTACTTTACGCCTTCGACAAAAGCCTATACAAAAGCTGGAGGAAGACTGGAATTTGTGTACTCTTCAAATATGTACAAGCCTGTTTTAGAACAGTGGAAAATTCGTTAATGTTGATAAAAATACCTCAGTTAGTAGAGATGTAGATACAGTATAAAAGTCGGGGAGTCTTTGAGGTAGACGGAACTTCATACTTCATCTCAGATACACAGTTGTCTAAATGTCGTAGGAAATACTTAAAAACCTATGACGCATCATCGTTTACTCATCATACCTCACGTCTATACGGTATCTTTCTCATTAGCTAGGTTCATTATTAAAATTGAAAAACTGAACATTTGACGAATCCTATGGAATTTTAACAGGTCGATAACTGGAATTTCCATTCAAGTGACTGATAACCGCCTAAACAGGTTCAAGGAATGTCTAATACAATGATTCCTTGTGTAAATGATCTTAGGTGAAGTGACGTAAACAACTGGAAAGTAGGTGACTTCAAGGAATGAATTTTCAACTGACCTGACTTTCATTTCCAGTTTCGCCAGTTGGGAAATATTTACACACCATTTTACTATCGACCATTCTGTCTTAAATTTCTAGCACACAATGTGAACTTTAGCTGTAGACTAATTGATTCTCGAACAGTTAATTATAAATTGCAGATCTTTTTTTTACATCTAACCATCGACGGTGAAGGTGAAGCTTTATGCAGGTGGGTTGTAGCAAATAACAATGGAGCTGAAGTTAATATAACAAATACTTTAAGGGTGAGGAAAAATGTTCTTACATTCTCTAAGATGGAGAAGGGTATGAGAACCCGAACCCAGGCATACTGAATTAAGCTTTTAAGATAAGCACCCTAGTCGACAACTGGGGTTTAGATGAAAACAATTTCAGGATTGTGGAACTGGAGGTCAGGGAACACCCTCCAAGACTGTCAGAAGTAATGCTTGATAAAACAGAGTGAAGAACATTGTTGCCGGTAATTCGTGTGACCATAAGGACGATATTTGTGCATAGGGGAGAAACCAATGAGAATGGAAGCTGTAGACAAGTTGAGTACCTGACCACCAAAAGATGAGGAAGCCTAAGGTTATCATGTCTTGAGTAGTGAAATCACACCGTCAAATGTCTTGGACACCTCTGTTCATCAGGCTAATAAAAACATAAGTAGGACTTCTGTAGTTTACACCCATGCACCTTGTAAAATTGTTATTGTGTTTGAACAGACAGACTTCATAGTTTTACGGATCGTCTTATACTGAAAGCCTGCGTCCCTACCACTGTAAACCATCTCTTGTGCCTCCTAGGAAAGATCATCCGACAAAATGGTCATTAAGTTGAGGAAACTATTTATAGAATAAGTTTTTTAGTGCAGATGGAAATCATCCTGCAAGGCTGTCATTGACAAGCGTCAAAAGGAGTACTCGGATAGTTAGTATAAGTCTACTGCCTTGAAAAACAATACCCTCAGAGTACAAGAAGTAACGAAACAAAAATTTGCAGGGAGGACAGAACAAGAGACCATAAAGACCAAAAATCTACAGAACTGTTTCAGCAACATGCTTACATCTGGCGGTAATTCACAGCTGT